ACTCGAGCGGTTCGACAGCCATACCACAATAAGAGGCTGCCGAAACACTATCTAGGATGGGGGCGGAGCCAAGGATCACATAGCCCAATACGGTTTCCAGTGCGTAAGGCGCGGTATGCGAGGAGTTGCTCCTGACCTTATTGTTTAACAAAAGATGAGGGAAAAGCGATGCCCCAATGAGCATGTCTATGTTTCCAGGAACGGCGTAAGTGTCGTCTGCTAGAGTCAAATTTTTAAATTCAATCATTGCCGAGGTGTCAACCGAAATGGTTGGCAACCGTTCAGTGACCCTATCTACTACCAGTGCATTTATATCAAAGTTAACGTTACGATCTATCCGAGAATAAAATTTTAAATTTATATATCCCTGTGTCGCTTTACTAGTACCTCCGATGCCTTTAACTACAGGACATGAAAGTGACCTATTTATTACTAAGCCTAAGCGCTGACAACATTGTCGTGTTATAAAGCTATTTTGGGCTCCGCTGTCCAGCAGTGCACGGACGCTTTGTTTGTTTCCACGCGAATCCCTAACCAAAATACGCGCCGTACCCAGTAACACGGTTGAAGGAGGTTGTGCTCCCATATTTGCCAATGAGCACAGAGCGACATCACCAGGTCGACCGCTAGAATCGTTGACCTTAGTAGGGGTGAATTCCTTATTCGCCTTACTTGACGCCGCTATGTTGCTATTTTCAAAATGTAATAGCGTGTGATGTTTCCTGGCGCACTTGCTACATACGGAACTCGAATTGCATTTTGCAACTAAATGCTTATCGCTTAAGCAGTTCAAACATAGGTTGTTTGTTTTTACTAACTTATAACGTTCGCTTGGTGAATATTTACGAAAAGTCGCACAGTTATATAAATTACCGTGTTTATCTTTACATACTATACAAGTATGCTGGAGCGATGTCGGCGTAGCGGTTACGTAAGTTAACGACCCTGCTATTTTAGATGGTTGAGTCTGTCTACGGTCGACGCACCTTTTAATCTCCTGTTTAACGTTCGGTGAGCGCTGCATCACCTTTATTTGATCTCGCACGAACGATGCTAATGAATGAAAGGAAGGCATCTCCGAGCTACGATGCTCCATTTCAAACGCACGCACGGTGTCGGAGTCTAATTTCTTTAATGCTATATGGAGAAACACCACGTCCATGAGGTCATTAAACTTCAAATTCTTAAGTGCAGCCACCGATGCCACAAATTTATCGAGAAACTGCTCTAAGCCGTTGATGTTCGCGGATGATATAGGTTTAAGATCGAATATCTGGTTCAAATATTCGGAAGCTAACATTCTCCTATCTTCATATTTAGTTTTAAGCGTTTCAAATATTAATACGTAATTGTTTGCTGTAGGTGTAAAACCCGAGCAGATCGACTGTGCTCTGCCACTAAGTTTGCTAATTAAGTAATATAATTTTTCAGCGTCCGATAACGATGGGTTGTTGTGTATATTGTTTTGAAAACTACTGAAGAAGAAGGGCCACGTCTTAATATCACCATTGAATACCGGAATATCTATTGGCGGTAACCTAATTGAGTCACGAGGGCGTACCTGCATTTCAGGCTTCGCTTCACCTTGAGATTGTAGCAATTTTGCGGTTCTCTTCACGCGACACAACATATCTTCGAATGCCAGCAGCGGTTGGTAGTTCACTATGTATTTCGGGTCGGTTTGTAGTTCCGACTGATTAATTTGATCTAATATTCTTTCGTAATCTGTCCGCAAATTATCTATCGTTTCGATTTCATTTAAAAAGGCCTCCCGTACTGCCTCTATATGAATGTTCTTTATATAATCACTTATATTCTGCATACGCGAAAAGAGTATGTCCCTCTTGGCATAAAGCGTTTTAATTTTGATTTCACTTCCACTAACTGCCATTTTAAATTATTATAATAAAGTTATATTAATCACAATTAATCTCACACGCATAAACGACGTAGGATGAATACTCGGCGTGCCGTATTACGTAATCAGATCGAGCGCCCGATGCAGTCAAGGCTACGCGTCGTTTGCTAAACCTAATAATTTTATAAAATTGTGGGGTAAGCGTATCAAACGGTTGCTATCACGCCGTTTCAATTATTTAATAAGCTTTAAATTTAACCAAATACGAGCGCTATTAAATGAATAATTCTGTTTGCGAGTAACAAATCAAAATTTTAATTTAAACGAACACTATTTAAGTCTATTCTATAAATTAGAGTGCGTTATCTAAACAATTAATTTAATAATTCGACCAGAAAATGGTTGGATAACCACTAAACACCAATCCAGATCCGGCTCGAAGGACCATAAAATGGTGGAGCCACGTGTTTAAGGCTGCCGAAAATCTAGTTCCCCGGTCAAACCTCAAACCTATTACGCGAGATATTAACTAAAGTGGACTGTATATGCGATTGCTTCTACGCTTACGTCAAGCGACTACTATAGCATGCGGTACAATGCACTCGCTCTTCCCTAAACTAAACTATTACTTGTCGAATCGATGAAAGGAATCCTGCTTGACTAGGAAAAAAAAACACAGATTGGAGCGGGTTAAATTATTAGCAAGCAGGTATAATTAAGGAATATTGACTCACCGGGGTTTCTTCTTCCTGTCGATCACTATAGCGGCGACTTCCGGAACCTCCTCTGGACAGACACTTCTGGGGCCCCAGTGGTGCGTCAGGAGAGAAGAGTTGGTTCAACGACGACTGCGGCGGGAGAAGAGGCTCGCGCATCGGTCGCGCGTGTCTTATATATCCTCGGCTCGGGTGATTACGCGATGTTCTAGAATCGTCTTCTTTCCCCTCCCACCCCACCACCCCGATGTGTCGATAGGAGGGTACGAATGATATTGTTTGGAAAGGAAATAATGATTCTACAAGTTCCTACCGTCAAAATAAAAAAACGCGAATGGTTTTCCGCGCAACCATCCTTTCTGTTCTAATACTCTGTAACGCAGTGGTAGAAACAGACGATCGATGGCGCCAACGCCTGAATAAACCATTAATTCGGCATAAAACTAAATAATGATCCGTTCCTACATTAGAACCCCGGTAAGCTCTCGTATCTACCACTGCGCCCCTCAATCTTTCATCCACAATTACGAAATCTATCATGCTTCTATCGTCACCTCTTTCCCAAGTATACATGTGAATCCTCTTGTGGCGAAAGCAAGTGTTCGTCACAAAAAGATTCTTTTCCATACATACGGTGAGGAGACTTTCACCATTCTTATTTATACTTTCATCACCAAACGTTCCCAATATCCTTTCATAACCAAGCCTCTTGACCCCAACCCTTCCATTAAAATCTCCTAGCATAATAATATTTTCATTTCCCTTACACTTCATTAACACCATCCTTACCATTTCCCAAAACTGCTCTCGGATATAAATGGGCTTAGACATGTCTGGGGCGTAGACCCCTAACGTAAACAACTTCTTTAAGCCCACTTTCATTCGTATCCATAGCAGTCTTGGGCTTTCTCATTCATACTCTTTCACACATTGGCCCATTCTTTCTGAAAGGATGATACCTACTCCCTGGCATGCCCGCTCGATCTCGTCTACACCAGACCAGTATGCGGTATACATGCCATGTGTAGTGACATCCTTCCCCTTCCTTTTCGTCTCATTTACGCATAACACATCTATTCCTCTATCATTCATCATATCGCATACTTCATCCATTTTATCATTCATTGCCCCACATACATTCAATCCACTGCAATCCACTTTTCGCCTCTCCGGGAGACAGAACGTGACGGGTGGCGAACCTCGTCGCCGGTTTTCCTCCCGGAGATTCTTCGCACCCCTACCCCATTAAAGGGGCGCCGGGAACTCGGGGCCATTTCTTTAATTCGATTCCTCATGGTGCGAAATGGGGTAGTATATTTAACGCCGCTACCACGGCGTGGAGCCGAGTCTGTGGTATCGGCTTGTCGCTCATTTAGCACCACCCGGGGGACCCGTGTAGGGTGGGCCTAGGAACAGGTGGTCAAATCCTACGGACGCGAGCGACTTATCCCCTAGATATCAGTCGGGAATCGAATGAGAGCTTTCACAACTTTTTCTGCTACCGGGGCGGCGCTACAATAAGGTAAAATATTTGACAGTTCTCATATCGGAGAAATTGATTTGCTGGAGAAGTTTAAAGATTAATTCTTGTTTTTGAAATATTAGTTATATTTTGCATTAATTCGATTAGAAATGTAGGAGAATTAAAAAGAGTTGTAACATGTAAAAAAATTAAGTGCACACCACTAAGGCATTATTTTGTGTATAATATACACTATAAACTGGAAAACTTTCTCTTAAAACGCAACTTTTCAATGATGATGATAACGTATACTTATCATATAACTTCGCCGGTGAGCGGGAGATTATTTTTCATTTCACTTGCACTCGCGTTCAAATAAAATGTTAGATTAAGTTAATTTTTATTTCGCCTTATTTAGACCAACAAAAAATGGACAGGGCATTCCGTGCATTCAAGGGACGCCGAAGGCATGCTCAACGTCTTAACACGCACTCACGCACAAACATTTCTTCCATAATTCCTTAACAGCCCGTAAAAGTTTACTCCTAGATGCACACATATGCACCTAGACCATGTTGTTGATTGAAAATTATTTTAGATGGATATTTGTGCGTAAGTTAATTGAGAATAGATTTAACTTGGTTTAAGCGTAACTGGAGCACTGCGTCTATCTTTCTTTGTCGGTCTTCTTAAAACGTAGCCACCTCTTAACACTGTATTATTTTGTTGCATACATAAAAAGCAGTATTCCTAATAATTTTTTTAAAGAATATTAACAATGCTATAAACATTACTAATATTCCCCTTAACCACTCGTGGTAAAGCTTAAGTTGCTTGTGTTACGAGTGGTTCACGCTAGTAGTCGAATGGCGGATTCGAACTCACGACCTTTTTGAGTTCGCAGTCCGCGCTCTGCCATTAGGCTACTGTCGCTTCAAATTCATTCATTTTTATAATTATGCAGTAAATAAGTCTTCGGTGAGTTGTCTTGGTCGTTGCGATCTGCCAAAGCACCGATGCTTAAACAAAGAGGAGATAAAACCTGGCCCCGTGCCCAAGCACATGGGATGGCATTACACTGCAAAGGACGCACCCGAACATCAGGTACGCGGAATATTTAATTACCTACTTAAATTGGATCTTATTACAAGAAAATATTGACAACACAGCAGTATATTATACAACTACGAAGGTAGACGCACTTTATTACACTACACTGTCTTTTTTTACGCGGCAGAGCCATGCTGCAATAATATTAGTAGTATAGTTGTAGCACGAATGGGTCGGCTCGACCGGGGAAGGACCGCGCTCTCACAGAATACCAGCGTAAAATACTAGCTCAATGCTGCTGTGTTTCGTATGGTGAGTGTAGAGAACCGGAGACCCTTCTTACTGGAAATGAGGCATTCCATCTAAGTCCTCACGGGTGACAACGCATCTGCATTTTTATTCATAGTCGAGGATAGATGTAGATGTCTATGGACTACAGTAACCACTTGCCGTCAGGTGGACTGTGTGCTCGTTTGTCACCCTTATCCTATAAAAAAAAACTTATCTGACGTCAGACAACAACGATAACTCGCACTCACAACCTGCAATAAATTAGCACTTAAGTGTAACACCGGCAATTACCTAAAATCACTCGCATGCTATACGTTGTTATAACAAACAAGTAAGATTCTTATAAAGACGAACACACATTCCACTTTGAGATAATAGTAATCACATAGTAAACTTTTTGCTCCCGGATTTTTTTTTTGCCAACCAGTAATCGATCAAAATGTAAATATCACATCCCTGAGGACAGAATGAAATGCCTTGTTACCTGTGAAGTCTCCAATTCTCTACATTCCCCTTACGACATAATATGCTGCTATTTACGCTGGTATTCTGTGAGAGCGTGGTCCCCTCACCTCTCCGATCAAGCTAACACATTATTCAGATGTATGCACTCAATACGGCAGCAGAATGGCGTAGCAAATTTATGCGAGCAAATTGTTTCCATAATTTTATTCTATCTGTTTTTTCAGCTAAGATGTGGCTGGCGTCCAGGTCACATTTCATGTTCCGTCCTCAGAAAAATTGAACGGCATAATTGCATGAAGAGTGGTGAATGTGGTACACATTGTACCATTTCTTGTTCGAGACCGACTTGCTTAAAGCCTTGTTGCACGACTCCCAAATGCGTTTCAATCTGCCCTTCAACCAACTCCTGTAAGCCCCCGATTTGTGGACAACCTATTATAAGAGTTATAAGACATGGAGGTCAATACAGTATTTGTACAAAACCCTCAAACATTATCAATGCACCTTCAGGTCCTTACCCGTTGAAGTATGTTCTTAACACCGATGACAGTGAAGACAAAGAAGGAACAGCCAAATATAGCGTAGAAGCAAAGTTTAATGATTACCATTTTGATTACACTAGCTCGCAATCATCTTTTGTGCTTGATTTTTCGCCGCCAAATCAAAAATGTTACAAGACGTGCCCGACAAAAAGTGCTATGTGCTTGCTTAGTGAGGCTAAAAAATAACATAAAAATTTCAAATCCTTTATACTAAAGTTGTTCTTTTCAAAGTATACTTTGAAATATTTTACATATCTTATTGAATTTGTAAATGGCAGTCTGTTGTAATTAACATTTATTAACAACATTTATTAATAACATTTATTTAATAAAAGAAAATATTTCTTTATTTTTATTTTCACGCTTTGAATCTTTGGCTAATATTTAACAATGTATAAATGAGCTATGATAAAAATTCCGTTTGCAACAGGACCTTACTGATGCTTGGAGTTCTTGTCTTGTGATTCAGTTCCTATATAAAAAAACGAAGGCGAGTGGTGATGGAGTAAGAAAATTTGGCACCCGATTTCGTCTCAGAGTGTCACAAGAGGACGCACGGATGGCTATACCATTTCGTTTATGGCACGTTAAAATACCCCGAACGATGACGGGGAGCGTACCTATAAGGTGCGAGACAATGGTGGTAGAAAAAACCTAACAGTGAATTGCTAAGGATTAATGAAGAAGAAATAAGTACCCAATGGCACTTAAAAGCAATTTTAAAGTTGCCCCTGAACATATTTTGTTGATCAGTGTCAGATATACAAAGTACATCATAATCAAGTTGTACTTAATAGAACTTGGCTTCCTTAAAATACTTGTTAAAGAAATTCCTGTTAAGTGAAATCAATCCTTTTTCAAAATCATAATGATACTTCTATTTTCCTTTCTGTTTCTGTGTTAAGCATCACAAATTCTGTTTACTCCACCAGGAAATACCACACCTTCACAAAACATTAGCACAAAATTACATCATAATGCTAGTGCGTTTCGTAGAGCAGGTGACGTGAACCTGAAAGCCTTTTTTCCGGCATTCATTTTAGTCTTTAAAAGTGACAACAACTATAACTACAACTATACATATAATCGAGGATATATGTTAAGAGTCTATGGATCACAGCCACTTACTATCTCTCACTCACGCACTCATCCGATAGATGGTGTGCTCTTTTGTCACCCTTAAAATATTTTTATTTTTTACGTTTGAAGGAGTACCTTCAGCTTTTTAATTATTGTTTATGGTCCGATCTATGCAGAATGAACTTACTCTGTCTTGAAGTCTTGCAGTGGTATGCTTGGGTTTAGCTTTAATTTTAAACAATTACAGGGTCCCAAGAAGGTGGTAGTACCCAGCCTCCTTCTCTATTGAAATTAGGATGTTTTTTAATTTCAATAGCCTCACGTATCATCCTTGGTAGGAATCGATGTTCTTTCGCGAGGATTTGTGGTCTATCAAATCTGATGTAATGGCTGCCTAAGATATGATCGCAAACTGCTTGTGTTGTTCTTACCATCTTGACACTTGACAGATGGTAAGAACTAACTAATCTTCTTCGGCGGCTTGTAGAATGTTCTAATAGAAGCTCGCTTCAAGATGTAGCCAATCTTGTCTGTGACACCTCTGACATATGGTAGTACAGCAGGCACACGCTCGACTGTGGCCGGCTTAACTCGGTCACTGTGACGTAGGCGCGGGACCCGAAGCTTGTTGTCGTGCAGAACCTCCTTGACGTGCTGAAGTTCGGCGGTCAGGTGTTTGCTGTCACAGATGCCTCGTGCTCTCTGTAACAAAGATTTGCCCACGGTAGCTAACTGTGAGGGATGATGGTAAGATTCACCGTTTATATATCGGTTTGTATGGGTCTTTTTCCTATACAGTTTTTTTTATTCTTTTTTTAATTTAGGCACTTACGTTATTTTTAACATGTCAGTCCCATTGTACCTTATTACTAAATAACACACTACAATTTCTTAAATTATTTACACAAAATATTACATAAATTATATACCATTTGAGCAGCATTAGACAACGTTACAGACAGAATCATAGATTACTGACTATATACTAGAGAGACAGAATGCTTTTATATTGTTGCGCGGCTAAGTTGACATTTTAACAGTGGTAGAGCCACGCGGCAGCTTTGCTGTCGCGCGTATGGGCCGGCTCAAACCGGGGTGGTACCACGACCTCACAGAATACCGGCGTGAAGTGGAAGCTCTGCTTCCGCGTTTCGTCTGGTGAGTGCAGGTGGCCGGAGGCCCAAATCCCCCCCCCCCCCATCAACATGGTAGCGGAATTCAATGATAGACTACCCCAGGAGGGTACCAGCACCCCTGGAGAATCCCTCGCTGAGCATCCACGACCATGTTTCTCCACTTCTGAGCGTGGGTGCTCAGGCTGCCCCGCATATTCTGGGGGGGGGGCAAAATTCCGCTCAAGACTAAAACTGCTCGGGGCAAACGGAGCAACAAGACCAAGGCGACCCCTGCCACGCTGTCCGTGAATTTCTGCAATATCAGGGGACTTCACTCCAACCTAAACGCCGTCCACTACCATCTCGAGACGGCGAGGCCGGCTCTGCTCTTTCTGACCGAGACGCAGGTGTCCTCTCCGGCTGATGTCTCGTATCTCTCCTACCCGGGGTACAAACTGGAACACTCCTTTGTGCCTCGGGCTGGAGTTTGCGTTTACGTCAGAGAGGACATCTGTTCTCGACGCCTCGGCAGACTTGAAGGTTCGGACCTGTCCATCCTTTGGCTACGCGTAGACAGCGACGACCATCCGCGCGTCTACGGGTGCCTCTATAGGTCCCACAGCGGTAATGCCGAAACAGACCGACTCTTCGACCACGTCCAAATGGCTGCAGATTCGTTGCTACAGCAGATCCCCTCCGCAGAGATCGTGATCCTCGGCGACTTTAACGCCCATCACGCCGAATGGCTCGGTTCACGTTTAACCGATCATGCGGGGAGATCTGTTCATGATTTTGCCTTGGCATATGGTCTGACACAACTGGTTACTTCGCCTACGCGGATTCCAGATGTGGAGGATCATGCACCTTCCCTGTTGGACCTTCTGCTGACCTCTCACCCGGACGGATATCAGATTTCCGTCGACGCCCCTTTAGGCTCCTCGGACCATTGTCTTGTCCGGAGTGTGGTGCCACTCACGCTGAAATCGCGGTTGCATTCTGCAGGCTGCCGCCGTGTTTGGCACTATAGGTCAGCCGATTGGGATGGGATGCGGTCTTTCTTTGCATCCTACCCTTGGGGGCGGGTTTGCTTCTCGCCGGACGATCCCAACGTTGTTGCGGATTCTGTCGCTGATGTGGTACTTCAGGGTATGGAACTTTTTATTCCTTCCTCTGTGGTGCCCATTGGAGGCAAATCTCAGCCATGGTTTGGTCGCTCCTGTAAAATAGCATCATGCTATAAGCAGGAGTGCCACCAGGCCTGGGCTGACGCATCAGCGTCCAGGGATGTAAACACCAGCGCTCTAAAAAAGAAGTATAATTCCGCCTCTAGGTCCTTCAAAAGAGTCATTGCCAAGGCAAAGTCAGAGCACATAGGCAGAATTGGCGAGAAACTAGTTCGCCTTCCTTCTGGAACCCGTGCATTCTGGTCTCTCGCCAAGGCTGTCCAGGGGAATTTCTGTCAGCCATCTCTTCCATCTCTGCACAGGGAGGACGACTCACTGGCCCACACCGCAAAGGAGAAAGCCGATCTTCTAGGCTCTTTCTTTGCGTCTAACTCGACTCTCGATGACGGGGGGAGTACGCCGCCGACCATCCCGCGGTGTGAGTGCTCCATGCCGGAAGTGCAGTTCACTCAGCGCTCGGTTCGCAAAGCACTCCTCTCCCTGGACATCCACAAGTCGAGTGGGCCTGACGGAATCCCCCCAATTGTGCCGAGGACGTGTGCTCCAGAGTTGGCACCGGTTTTAACGCGTTTTTTCCGGTACTCCTACTCCCTAGGCGTAGTCCCAAAATCATGGAAGACGGCTTTCGTTTCCACCCGATCCCTAAAAAAGGCGACCGCTCAGACCCGTCCAACTACCGGCCTATCGCCATCACCTCCTTGTTCTCCAAAACAATGGAGTCCATTGTAAACTGCCAGCTCATGAGGTACCTTGAGGATCACCAGCTGATTAGTGACCGCCAATACGGTTTTCGCCGTGGTAGGTCAGCTGGTGATCTTCTGGTCTACCTAACTCACAGATGGGCGGAGGCAGTAGAGTCCAAGGGGGGAGGCATTGGCCGTTAGTTTGGACATTGCGAAGGCCTTCGATCGGGTTTGGCACAAAGCGCTTCTTTCGAAGCTCCCTTCCTATGGGCTTCCCGAGAAATTGTGCGATTGGATCACCAGTTTTCTTGCAGATCGGAGCATCAAGGTCGTTGTAGACGGTGCAAGCTCCGATTGCAAGCCTATTAATGCTGGTGTTCCACAGGGCTGCGTGCTATCGCCAACGCTGTTTCTTCTGCATATCAATGATATGTTGCAGACCCGTAACATTCATTGCTATGCAGATGACAGCACTGGTGATGCTCTTTACACCGGCCGAGCCAATATTTCTCGGGAAAATGTCTCCGAGTGCCGGGACAAACTTGTGTTTGAAGTCGAGTCTCTGCTGGACAGAGTCTCGGATTGGGGGCGACTAAATCTAGTCCAGTTTAACCCCCAGAAGACACAAGTTTGCGCGTTAACCGCTAAAAAGAACCCCTTTGTCGTATCCCCTCAGTTTCAAGGCACTCCCCTTGTTGCCTCAGCCAGTATCGGAATCCTCGGCGTCGACATATCGAGTGACGTGCAGTTTCGTGGTCACTTGGAAGAGAAGGCCAAATTGGCCTCTAAAAAGCTTGGCGTGCTCAGCAGAGCGGGACAGTATTTCATGCCGGCACACCGCCTGCAACTTTACAAGGCGCAGGTTCGGCCGCACATAGAATACTGTTCCCATCTCTGGGCTGGGGCTCCCCAGTACCAGCTCCTTCCACTTGACCACATCCAGCACAGAGCGGCTCGAATCGTCGACGACCGAGTGCTTTCCGATCGGCTCGATTCTCTGGCACTGCGAAGAGATGTTGCATCCCTTTGCATTTTCTTTCGCATATATCATGCAGAGTGCTCTGAGGAATTGTTCGGATTAATCCCAGCCGCCAAATTTCGTGAACGCACTACGCGCCAAACGT